TGGTCGAATGATGACATCACTTAGGCCACGCCCCTGAGAACAGGAAGTGTAATGTTTTACTGTGAACGTTCGCTATCCGACCCCTTTGACCTCATCAACATGAAACTGTGCCCAGACACCGAAGACATGTTGGTGTATTGAGGATTCCAACCCCGACCAGCTACGATAGAGCAGGTGGGCATGGCGGCGTGGCGAAGTTACCTGTAACGCCATCGCCATACGTTTTGGCTCTCAATACCACATTTTCGGGCTCAGCTGCTGCAAACTCACAAGGATGAATATTTATCCACTCCCCGACTGGAATCCCATCACAATATTTGTAGGGCGTGGCCTAATTTCTCTATAGCGCCCCTAGAAAACAGCAGCCCATAGGTTATGTTGTTATTAATTATTTAAATATACATTATTATAACTTTTTATATATATAAATTTATTTTGTGGGTTAAGTACAAACATTCATTCATTTTTGCTAGAAATAATACAAACAAAGTCATTCAGCAAAACTTATGACACAGCGAAGTAAGAACACACTGGGGTCAGTACCACTGGCACCTTGTGGAGAAATACTGGTACTGCTAGAAATACCAGTATTTCGACAGCAGGAGGCAGTGGTACTCCATCAATGAGAAACAGATCGACGCTACGTAATAACAGTCAGCCGGCGACAGCTGGAGCTGCAAAGTTTTCCTGAACATTTTGTTTGCTTTTTGGAGCCACAGAACTGGAATACGCTCAACATTTTGCTTGGATTTTGGAGTTGCAAATCCGAACCACGCTTTGGAGCAAGAAGGCTCTGTTGGACCGGAGTTGGAGAAGTTTAATGGGCTCTTTGCACCTCAGCTTACACGTTGGGAAAACACGGCTGAAATGTTTTTCCAAGGTAACAATTAATAATGTACATCGATCCGAAACCCCAACAAGTAAGGCAAAGAAAGGTTTTAAGATGTTCGCCTCGTTATACATTCACAGATATGAAGGTGAGTTTTATTTTCTTTAAACTGCTAGCACAAGCCTGCTAGCTTTCTAGGAAAATCTGCTATTTAATTATCTAAAGATTTCTCAGCCATTCTAACGGACACTGTTTGTGCCTTATTTTCAAGCATATTATGTGTTTATTGTTAACGACAATAAAGCAGCGGGGAGGGGGAGGGGGAGCAGATTACAGTTCAGACTTTTTGCTTGAAGTATGACGAGAAAAACGAGCACAGAGCTTACTCTGGTATCGGAGTTCTAGTTCAGCTGACTGTTCAGATTCAGAGTTATTACTTTTAGAAAATATGGCCGTGTTGCTTAAGGTTTCTGTTTATTTCGTTTTATTACTTTTGCATGCTTGTTGTGAATGGCTCATTAAGACGGTGTTTAGAGCGGTGTGTACGGCGTTAGCTTCAAGTGGTAGCTTTAACTTGTAGCAACGAATTTACAAGCTCTCTTAATTGAGGGTGGCTTGGAAATCCATGAAAACTTAAACAAAGTACATAGTATTGTTTTATTTGTGTCTTAAGTACGACTTTGTCTTTTATAGCAGTCATAGTTTCTGAAAGTGGAAAAAAGAGCAGCATTCGGGTATGCAGTTGTGACGTCAGCGCGGCAGGTGCAAAGAGCCCATTGCTGTTCGTTTAAACAGTCGTAACTCGCGGTGCGGTGAGTAATTTATTCCTTCCTGCTGGTTCTGGAAGCCGTCATGTTTGGAACAGTTTTCTGAGGAGGATGCTAACCCAATGCCTGAGGCCTGCAACGTTTTTAATGCTAACGAAGCGCTTTACTAATTCAATAAACTGAATAGTGTGTGTGATACATCCAGTTTCATAAATTCAGAGTTGTTTGTTATTATGTATAGAAGATGTTTAAAATGTCGTTTGAAAGAGCTCTGAGAAAATGCTAAGTATCTTTTTACAGATCCATTGGGGTTGTAATATTTAGTTGCAGCACTTCCTGTGATTAATACCTAATTAATGGATGGGATTCAGTCTGTGCTATTGTTCTAAAGTGCTGAAAGTTAACTGTGCTCTGTTATTGTGCATTGCCCTTGGTTTATTACTGAACAGTGCGGTTTATTAAACTGATACATCTTAACCTTCACCATTTCCTGACTCATTTCACGATAACGTTAAAGTTGCACTGCATTTACATCTCAGTTGTAGTTAACATCAAGCATGTGGGTGTGGCTTAGTGTAAAACTTTCACTATTTACCATGAAACATCAACATTAAATGACTTCCAAATGCAAGATCACAGCTGCATCATCACACTTCCTCTGTCTTTCTAGAGAACAGCCTGAACACATTTCCATGGTCACTTGATGACCTCACTGTAGCCCCGCCCACTTTTAAGAGGCAGTCACATGTTTTTCTGCTGTATGTTTTACTGTTATTCTATAATTTATATGGTTTCATCATGTGAATACTGACTAAAAACGATAACATGATGAACTCTATGAATGCTGGCTGCTGACCGAACCGCATTGGGGTGTAGAAATGACGAAATGCATTACTTCGCCACGTGCATATGATCGGCTCTAAATGACACATGGATCATCCGACCGGCGCCAAATTGGATACGTATGACCTTTGTTGACCTCTAAAGAGCAAAACAGCATTGAAATGTATTTTGACTCCACTGCGCCCCTACATTAATCCGCCAGCTGTATTTCCTCGCTAAACCAATGAATCTATACCACATTTTTTTGCATCTTGAAGGATAGCCGCCGAACACATAGATGCGTACCGCCTGGAGGACGGGCGCGGAAACTGCGCAACAACTTCTGTCTTAGCACGTGCGCAGCGTTGATGGAAACTGAGCAACTGCTTCCGCGGTGCGGGCGGAGGCGCTGAAAACTGCGTGAGAAGCTTCTGTGGTGGCTGGCGTGAGGCGGCGGTTGCTCGTACCCCGCGGTGGCAATAGGCCGGAGCGGCGCTTGGCTGCGAGGGCCGTTCGAGGCTGCTTGCAGCTTTAATTTAATATTCTAACCTCCATCCAGCATCAAATCCGTCTGCAGAAATGAGTGAAAACAAAAGCCAAACGGAGTGAATTTACAGCACTTAACCCGACCTACAAGGAATCGGCTCCTGGAAGGCAGGTGGATGAATAAAACAGGAGTGAGGGATCAGGAATTTGAAGCTCGTAAATTATTCACAGCGGAGAAATGTGTCATCAGCATCAGCATCGTGCCACCAAGCCCTCAGTCATCTGCCAACTTCTCACCCAGAAATAAGGTTCCTATGGTGGGCTGCTGACGCCTCACAGGTCATGAACTCCGGCACAGATGCTAATAGAGGAGCGAAAGCAGCTCTTGCTTTGCTCCTGCTGTTTGAGTGACACTGAGTCTGCTGCAGAGAGACAGAGTCCACTCTTCAGAAGCCACATTCACAAAGCAGAGCTGCGTTTTTTGTTTTTGTTTTTTTCCCTTTTTACGGCATTGGTGCTTGCTGATCACTAAATACAACCGGTGTAAGACGAAAATCTGACTTTATCCCAAGAAGAAACACTTCTTGTGACTAACGGTACATTTTCGATTGAGGCGCAAGTTCCTCGTTCCTGTATTTGGCAGTGGGGGCGAGGTTTAGTCAGAAATACCATTTTGCTAGTTTCAATATAAACTGGCTGCGTTTTAGAGAAATCACAGCGCATTCATTGTGCTGGGTTCAAAGGAAACATTTGAAATCTTACAGAAAGATGTGGATACAAGATGAGGAGAGCTCAGTTGCAGGTATGGACACATAAAATAAATAAAATCTTGTTAATTAATTTCATATTTTGATTTTTTTTTAAATAGGCGGTGATTAACTTGGTTAAAAATAATGAATCATAAAAGGATTCTCCTAGTGAGCAGAAAATGTTTCACTTTAGGCAGCTGGCCGGTAGACACGTTCTGGAAAAGCTTTATTTCTTTTACATTCGCCTTTTAAAGATTCACTTGTTGCGTTTCTTGATTAAATGTTTGTGGCTAGTCGGACTTAATCTGGCTTAAGAGGCGTCGAAGCAGCCTTCGAGACTTTTAAACTGCTTGGAAGCACATTTTAAGACATTGTGTTTGTACAGCATTGTTTAAATAAGACATTGTGTGTTATTAACCTTTTAAAAGGAACAAACAATGCAATAATGACGGTGAGTCTGTCCTTCGAACATTAGATTGTATTCATGAACTGTGGGATTTTACTTAAATTTTTTATTTTTATCTATCAGGACAAATTGAGGCTTTAATTTGCAATAAAGCCTCTAACTTTATTGTATTATAACTCTATATAACTGTCTGATGGGCTATAGAAATAGGAGTTTTGGCTGATTTCTTTATGGTTTCCAACAATGTCAGGGAGGACAGACACCAGCAATGATGTTAGAGAAGTAACTGTGGCTGAAAATCAATCTGGGAATAGTTGTAAGGCAAATTTCAAACCACATGAAGTCCTTCATTTTACACTGGTAAGAGTTATTTAAGAATTAAGGATATTTTAGACGATATTCCAGAAGTTCACTTGTAAAAAATTCACCTCCAGCTCAATGAATGCTCAATGATATGCTAAAAAATAAGACAAAGAGCACCATATTAAAATTCAGGAATGATCGGTAAGAAAAAAAATAATCGAAGTGCTTGGAAGGTTTTCCATCAGAAAGTCAGTTTTCTCTTAGGAGAACAGGGAGTCAAAAATGCATCTGATGGAACCACGGGACGCCTGACCCGAAGAGACCAAGCAAGAGATTTTTAGGACGTATTTAAAGTCTCATCACCGGATCAGTGAAAGCAACGTGTCAGGCTGTTGAGCAAGTGACTCACTTTCCTGTCACTTGAGTCCAGTGTGACAGAAACCAAAACATGTCGATCGGGTTCTTTCTGCGATTTCACATCCTTTTATCTGTGCGAGCGAAACGCGCCGAGCGAGGACTTCCTTTTCCAGTCACGCTGGGATGCGAGGATTCTCGCTCGTCTGTTTTGTCTCGTCCAAATTAGCTTCCCAATCTGTCCGCTGTGTGAGAATGAAAACATGATGTGTTTCTCCTTGCAGATTCTGATGAGGACAGCTGCTTATCTTCTGAAGATTGGCAAGATATTCAGGTACTGCTGCTACAGTGTGCATTAGAGACAATCAGCAGCACATGAGGAAAAAGATGAATCCTGCTCAGACGTGTGGGACGTGTTGACATCTGATTTGTTCTTTCTCTTTCACTGCTTCTATTTGGATGTTTTCACAGCAAATGTCCCAGTGTAATTTAAAACGACATCTGCAAGGAAGGTGAAAAATGAGCCAAAATTGCGGCCTCAAAGCACAATGCAGAGTCCACGTCTGCAGCCTTGATTACATTAATAATGGCAGAATCGTGTTTGTGCCTCAGGTGGAGGCTGACGGCGGCTCAGAAAGCGAATAAAAATGAGCGCCGTCGAATTCGACGTGAGCGGATTGATGTGTTTTCTTCTGCTCACTTGCGCTGATTTTGATTGTTAGTGCGAGATCCTGGAGAAGCAGCGAGACGAAGCCAATCAGAGGCTGATGGAGCTGGAGGAAGGTGAGAGATCTGCAGCGGCGGGTCCGTTTCGGCGGGAACGCGAACGGAGCGACGCAGGCCAGAGACGCGTTCGTTGAGTCGTTTTTGACCTTTCTGTCGACCTTTCGACTGAGTTCATGTGCAGAAGCATTTTTCTTCTTTTGGAAGGAGGGAATCCAAAACATGCAGCAGCCTGCAAATGTCTTTACATATGTCAAACTTTTTTGTTTTAAAGCCTCAAACTTTATTGTATTTTATGATAATCCTACATGACTGGCAACAAAAAAACTGAGACGTGCGCTTCTCACGTCTCAAAGTGTTGAGTCAATACTTTGTAAAAACCTCTCTGGGGAAGGGATTTTTCTTCTTTCTACTTTACAGAAAAAAGATTTATTTCAACCATTTGATAAGTTTTGCCTCCAATTTTCAAGTAGATTTGGGGAAGAACAGCATTAATCTAAACTATTTCGTTATAAGAACCATTTCATCATTCACGGGTATTAAAATAAAAAGGGCTAATGAGATGTCATTCTACTTCCATCTATTTCATTTCTTTTTTTCCTGTAAAGTGTTTTAAATTCTCCTTTGTATGAAGGGAAGCATGCACAAAAAAAATAAAAAAATAAAAAATTAACTTGAAAGTTCTTACCCAGTCCCCAAAGCATGATGTCCTGCATGGTTTGCATATATATGCTTTGAATGCGATGGGGCAGGGACACATATAAGACATTTAAGACATTGGTCCTTAAGGAATGGAGTTGGACAATCACTCAACTTTACACGACGCAAAAAGTTACAATAAAAAAGTAGAAACCCTTCCAAGGCATTGTAGATTTTATTAGTGTCACACAAAAATGTTTCAGGTGTCCAAATTTAAAGCGATAAAGATTCTTTTTGCTATAAATTGTTGTGCCTGAAAAGGAAAATAAAAGAAACTAAAAACATCTCTCCTTTCTGTGATCAGTTTCCAATCATCTGCTGAAGGAGATGAATATGTTGGAGATCCAGTTCCAGGTGGAACGGTCCTGCAGGGAGAGCGCGGAGGCTCTGGCTGTCAAAGTAACGTCAAGAAATTCATTCGAGCTGACGAATACGGCAACAGAGATGCATCGGTCTCCACATCTAACCGTCGTCTCCTCCGTTTCACAGGTCAGCAAGGAAAACACAGCCCTGAAAAGAAAGAGCCAGATGTTGCTGCCGCTGATCTCCACCCTCCCAGAAAACCTGGCCACTGTGACCCTTGACCCAGAGACTGACCTGGCGGCTGATGTCGATACGGCTGATTCCGATGTGGTTGATTGCGATGTGGTTGATGGTGGTGTGGGTAATTTTAGGGAAAGTAACAGTGAAGAGAACTTGCTGCTTGAAAGTCAAGCCAAGATCACAGGTTAGTTGCTCAGAACTTAACTTGGCTAAAAACATTGTTTCTTGTTTTTCTTTAAAAAAAACCAAAAATACCTTCAGATCTTACCTGCAGATCGTCCAACAACTGAGTTAGCCAAGAAGAAAAGACCCGGGCAACCTTAATGCCCGTCTACAAATTAAAGTTTGTTGAATATTGCAGCATCAATATTCAACAAAGCTGAAACTATTTCTGCTTTTGCCTCTCCTGTGAACATAAATCCAGAGTTTTTGCTCACGAAAGATCATTAAAAATCTCTAAGAAATGACTCAGGAGAACCAACAATGTTGGTTTTTGCTTTAGCCGTGCTCAAGTTGTCAATGTCAGCGCCTCCTACTGGCACAGAATACGTATTGCATCATTTTTGACTGTATTTCCAAAGAACTTGGAGATGAGGATATAAAAAAATGCCAATTAAAAACGGTTTAAAGCCTAATGGTGAGTGTGTCTGTGTGTTTGTGCTAGCGATGCAGGCGTCATTGGACGGGCTGCTGGCTGAGAAGCTACAACTGGAGCATCAGGTGGAGGAACTGACCAGAGAGCAGGTCCAGCTCAGAGAGCAGGTAGTAAATACCACTATGTGTGTGTGTGTGTGTGTGTGTGTGTGTGTGTGTGTGTGTGTGTGTGTGTGTGTGTGTGTGTGTGTGTGTGTGTGTGTGTGTGTTTTATCGTGTTGGGATCTGTAGTCCGATTGGATGGCTACTGTTTTGGAACCCCGACAGATTTGAGCCCTCTCAACGAGGCTTGTGCTGCGATTGCACCCCTGCAGGTAGATTTTCAATTTCAGGATCAGAGGAAGTGACATAGTTGCATGTTTAAAGAATGAGGCAAAGGTAAAGGTAATGGTTAGAAAAATATAAATAAATAAAAATGTCTCTCTGAGATGAAAGAGTTGGGGTCAGTGAGAGAATCTCACCTTGATGTTTGTTCAGCTTGTTGCAGAGGTGGAGGAGAAGGAAGCCATTCTGAGGACGATGAGCAAGCAGACCAAGACCATGACCAAAATCAAAAGAGGTAAAGTATCCTTAACTTCTGTTGTTATGAAGAATGTTGCACTGGAATATTTTAATCACTTCACTGTGTTTTGTCAGTAACCAAACACAGGTTTCTGACATAGAGTTGTCTTAGAAAGTGTCTGTTTTATGAAAAGAAGGTTTCGTACTCCGGCCCTACTAAATAAAGTTATTTAAAGCCTGATCTATAACCTTGAAACTTGTATGTCAGAAATGTTATGTGTGCTCGTTTTGTTGCTATAAACCAACGGACAATTGTCTTCAGTGCGACTAAAACGGGGGAGCAACGTCAGGAAGATGTCCGCCACTCGCTATTATTTGTAGCTTAGAGGAAATGGGGCTTGGCTGTTTTTGCAATTAGTTTTTGAACAAGTCTCGCTAAAGACAGACTCCAAACGTCACTCAATATTATGGCGGCAGCTCAAAATGTGACGTTGTGGAATTTACCCTTCAAATGAGCCCAAGGTCATTTTGGACGCAAAGGCTCATCAACGCTCCAAGCTTTCTCCACTGATGACGACCCTCACTGTAACTCACTGGAGCCAGGAAGCCGTCAGAGGCTTTAAAAGCCCTTCCAGACTGATGATGTGCTGCTTTTTAAAACCTTGCAGCCTCGTTCAAGTCGCCACGCTGCTTCCGTTGAAGTAACTCCACAGGTCTGATTGTCACCAGGCCACAACAAAGTTGGTTTATCACAGTTTTTCAAGCATTTATCTTTGTCTCATGTTAAAATTTGCCAGTGTGGCTTGAAACACTAGCAAAAAAGAAAGTGACAAAATAAGAAATCTGCAAAAGGCAAACGTCTTTTTCACAGCACTGGATATGTTATTTTATTTTATTTTTTGCACTTTTGAACATTGGGAAAAGTTAATTAACAAGGAAGAGACTTTTTATGTCTAAATGATACCTTTTGAATGACATAAAGTCTGGGAATCGATTCACTTAATGATGTGAGAGTTTGGGTAGCAGCTGCAATACTAGCAGCCTCTGATGATCAAGAGTTACAAACTTTGTGAAATGTCTTCCCACTTTCACCTCTGTGGTCAGGAACCAACTATAACAAGATGGATTCACTAACATGACTTTGGAGAGTAATTTCTCAATCTTTAGCGCACGGCTGCGTCAAGAGACTGCAGCATCATTTTAATGTCTTGGCAAGTCAAGTTTATTTGTCATCAGTTCAAAGTGCTTTATGTCATAGAAACAAGCAACAATGGTGACATTTTGTCATGAAAATCATCAAGCAAATACACATCAAATATGTCCATCATTGTTCCGCTTGGCAACCGAAAGCAGCTCTGAACAGTCGGGTTTTAAACCGTTTCATTGGTCTTCCTGGGTCGTTTTGCTCCACGTCGTCAAAGTCATCGACGGCTGACGGACGTGGAAGTGTGAAATGATTTCGTCCTGGTGGCCCGGTCTCGCCACATGGCTGCATACTCGCAAACACAAGCGAGCGCAGAATCCGAGGTGCTGAAAGAACCGAGGCAGAAAATGAGAAGTGAACCGGGGCGGCATGAGGTCATGAGAACGGATATGAATAGTCAACATGCTACTTTCACGTTGATATTTGAAAGTAAAATTCAGCTGCTTTTCCTCGGCCTAAATCACACGTTCCCCTGGGGGAATGCGTTACCATAATGAATCTCTCTGTTTTTCCTCTTTTTTTTTCTCTTCTGTTTGCCCAGTCTCCCAGCTTGTCACCGAGGAGTTCACAGAAATGTCTCAGAAGCTGGAGCTGGAGCAGGGCCTGCGGCAACACGCCGAAGTCTTCGCCCATCAGGTGTGTGTGTGCGTCTGTGTGTGTTTTCATCTTCCCTCAGAAATATTTTCCTCACACATTTGCACCTGCGGACGTTCAGGGTGACAGGTCGTGCCACGGGAAGGTAGAAGGGGTGTTGGCGCTGACCTTCGGGTGGCCGTGGTGAGAGAAAGGACAGGGACACAGACACACACTCGCACACGCGCGCGCACGCGCGTGTCTTTGGTGTCAGGGTACAACAGAGGTGGCAGGTCAACTGAAAGGGGGGGGGGGAGGGTGCTCCGTTTTCACACCGCCCGACAGATTTGGGCCCTCTCAACGAGGCTTGGCATTCACGCACACAGTAGCAAAAACACACGCAGACAGAGAAAACGTCAGTTCACTTGAGATCCCCTCACACACACACACACACACACACCGACCCATGGTTTTTCTTGTCCCAGCTGCTCCTTAAAAAAAGCCGTTTTTTTTTTTTTCTTTCAAAACATCTCTCCCCCTCCTGCGTCGCCCCTCCCCTCCCCATAATTAGCGGTCATCATTGCTGCTGCGGGAGAATAGCGGCCTTCAAGCACAACCTGTCTTCGCCTGACACCTTTATGTTTTGCCGAGCATATAGCAATTGTCGCCTTTGTGCGCCGCGTCCTCCATTTACCGGACAGGCGCACAATGGGCCGCCTTGCAGGGGTCCTTACCTGTGAAAGGGACCCCCAACTCCTCACACAATTCCACCCCTTTACTCTCAGTTCAGGGTAAAAAAAAAACCACCCACCCCCCCCCTGGCGTCCGGCCCCCCGTGCGCTGAATGCCTCTTGTATGCGCTGCTATTTGTCTGTTTTCATGTGTTTTGAAAACAACAACCATTCACACCTCTTCCCCGCCATGCGTGGTGGTATAATGATGTGGATCCTCAAACAGGAAACAATTTTGAGCTTTTTGTGTGTGTGTGTGTGCGGATGTGTCTTTTGTCTCTTGGCGCTGCTGCGTGTGTGTGTGTGTGTGTGTGTGTGTGAACTAACTGTGCTAATTGCTGTGTGAAATCGGCTCTCCTCTGAAGGGGAACCAAAGATCGGAGTGGTGTAATTTGCAGCGTAAAGAGTCGTGGTGCATGTCGCCGATGGAGACCAAACCAAATCTCAGGCCCCAAATGCAGAAATGAAAACCCGTTTTCTGCTCGCGCTTCCTGTTTTTCAGTCATGTACTTGATCATAAAAATGCTCGCTTAGCTGATTTGAGGGACGGCAAGTGGATGTCCTTAGGAGTGTCGTCATAAGTGAGCTGTGTGGCTTTAAACAAACTTTGACCCGTCACACACCGCTGTTTGTTATATTTTAGGAAGCGTACTAAGAAAGAAAAAGAGAAGAAAGAAAGAGAACAACACAGAATTGAAAAGATTGTTTTCTCAAGAATGAAAAAAATCTGATCAGTTCAGCTGACCAGTAAAGAAAAAACAAGAAATCTTGACTAAAAGAGATTTCAACCATTTTTTATGACAAATGGACCCTGTGATCCTCACAGAACATCAGGACCCAGTGACTGTTTTCTGTAAAAGGATGCTCATGGATGTTTGAATGTTTTTTTTTCAGCAATTCTGATCCTGAATTAAACAGAAGCTCAAAAAAATGCAGTTTTAAAACTCATCTTGAGGTTTAAAAATGCTATAAATTAGCCAACAGCATTTAAAAATCCAGCCTGAAGGCAAAAATAGTTGTTTTTAAACTGCTGGAGGCCAAAACTTCTTGTGGCTGGAAGTTCGAAATTCAGGTGAATGTCGAGAACGAGCCGCACAAATTTATCCGAAAGAAGAAGATTGTTCTTATAAACTTAGCCGAAAGCTTCAACTTCAAGCTGAAAGTCAACAATTTTGACTTTCAACTCATAACTTCAAATACATTTTCTCAGTCAGGCGTTGGTGTGTACATAAACATCCCTTAAAAATGTAAACAAAACATTTAAAAATCCAGCAGAATCCCAAAACGGGCCTTTATAAATTCAAAATTAAGTTTCAAAATGAAACCGAAATTGTTCAGCTTAATTAGAATCTCATCTGAATGTTGAAATTATATTTATGTATTCAGTGGAAAATTAAACATTCCTAGAAAAAGAACCAAAGAATTAGTTTCTGGGAAAAAGCAGCCATTGTTTACGCGTCAAAATCCCCCAGGGGGCATCGACATGTTGACACTGGGTCAGTTTGGCCGTGCATCACTAAAGTACTTAAGATCACTAAGGTATTAGAAAAGCATTGCTCACTTTCAGAAAACACGTTTCAAAATTTCCTGCTTCAAAAAACTTGCCCTGAAAATCTTTACGGACTAAGAAGCCCGGAAGTGGCCGAGGTCAGAGGGCAGGAAGCGTTCCTGGACGCCATCAGTTCCCGTCGCACCTGCAAGCATTTTAGAAATTTGCGACTTTTGTTAGATTTGAGCTTTTAAACCAGTTCGACGACAATGCCGCAGAAACGTGAGCCGTAACACTCGAGCTCTTGACAGAATTTGGGTTTCGGAACAAAGATTTATTGGGAACTTGATTCTCTAGTTAATAACTGCGACTGGTGCATTCATCTGTCACAATGAAAAGACGGGGCAGAGAGAAAAAAGAAACAATTTCACAGTGAATTGAGGCAAAGCCAAAATTGTTTCTTCATAATGGAAGAGTAATGACGCTTTGTCTCACAGAAAAACCATCCTGTTTACACAGTTCCTACTCTACAGTGAAGCCGATGAGTAATGACGGCTCCCGAGTCATTGTTCAGTCAAACACATGGTTTGAAAACATTTTCCCCCCGCATCGTGACAGCCTCCTGGGGAGAGACGTTTTCTACAACTAGCAATTCAGCTCCCTTCATTTTCCTCTAATGGCGGTTCATTGTAGTCGATGTATTTCTTTTCTATTTCCTTCAAAGCAGATGATTACAAGGATGGGTAGAAAATGTTAGAGGTGAAGCCAGATTCGGTTTGTCTCATCAGATGTTGGCGGAGCAGAAGGCGGCCGAGCGACCGAGCGCCACGGAGGCGAACGCCTCCGAGGCCGACGTGCGGCTTCGGCTGCAGCAGGCGCTGACGCAAATATGCGGCATCAACACGGCCCTGTGCAACATTCAGCGCCACTACCAGGACCAGGTACGGCGACAGAAACGTGGATTCGTGACTTACGAAGCCACGATTCATCAGTCTCTCTTGTGTGTGCGGTCAGATCAAACCGAGTGCAGGTGCTGAGGAGGAGCTGCGGGACCTGAGGGACCAGCTGAGGAAGAGTGAGGATGAGAGGAAGACGTTGGAGGGTCAACTGGCTCAGGCCGACGCACCGGTCACGGAGCTGAGGGACCAGCTGAGGAAGAGTGAGGATGAGAGGAAGACGTTGGAGGGTCAACTGGCTCAGGCCGAAGCGTCAGTGACAGAGCTGAGAGAGGAAGGTAACAGCTTGTAACAACAGCGAACGCCATCCACAGACAACTGGAGATGCACCAGTCTGAATCTTGGGGTTTCGTGAAGGTTTGGCCTGGTGAAACACAATTTAGCCGATTCTGGATTCTCTTTAATTCCCCGCATTGTCACTGCCTTTTGTTTCATTGACACTAGAAGACATGAATATCGCTTCCAAATCAATGGATCATCACATATTCACTCACTCACTCACTCTCTCACTCACTCACTCACTCATCCACCCACCCACCCGCTGATTTAGAGAGAACCGACGCCACTTCAGCAATGGCCCAATGGCAACATGACTTAATCTGATGCAGCTTTATGCAAATGCCGTTGTCATGATGGCATGGTGAATGCTTGAACTGACAGCATCGCGCAGCACTGAAATGCCTTTCCCAGACTTTGTATCCTTCAGTATTTCACAGAACAGCAGCGCACTCAGTTAGCGCAGTGAAGATTGAAGGGACTTCCACAGCACTGATCCTGATTTACACACACCATTCAGAAACCGACACGCATTCCTCAAAGACAACACAGGACGTCACATTTAGACCCACGTGTTTGTCAGTTCGCCGGCATCACGGCCCAGCAGGACAGAGAGTAGCAGCAGCGTTATAAAGGGTTTTGCGATCCTTTTTGTTTGGTTTTTGTGCTAATATGCTCACTTCCAAGACCTTAGTAATTTAGCAGGAACTAAGAATCGATTTCCTGGAACGTCGTAACTGGACTATATTTCTATGCAGGTATATATATGAGCTACCGTCAGATAAAACTTGGACAAACTCTACGCAGTTCATTTGTCTGGTAGCACATCAGTTGAAATGGTGTGCATAATACTGGCATAACACTGTAATAAACCTGATATGACAGTGTTATAAACACAAAGGAGTCTTCATGACTGCCTATGACTGTTGTCATGAAGTGTATAGAGTATTGAGCACACCCCTTCAAATAAAGTGTTACTGTTTGTATTTCTTTACAGTGAAACATTTACAGGAAAGGATGAACACAGAGGAGAAAAATGAAGATCTGGAGGAAGCAACTGCTCCTCTTCCTCCTCCTCCTCCTCCTCCTCCTCCTCCTCCTCCTCCTCCTGCTCCTCCTCTTCCTTCAGCCACTCCTGTTATCAAGTACGTCAATCGAAATTCAGACTCCTCTCTTCCATTGGATGACATGAAAGTTGATCTTTTTCTCTTTAAAACTAACAAACAGTCCTAAGCATAAATATCACTATACATGCAGAGCTCTCCAAATTCCTGAATTCAGATGTTTGGATCACAGAATCCACTCTACGAACAGAACCGGCGTCATAGCTTGTCATCTGCGTATTAACGCCAGTCATGAAATTTCTTCCTGACTCTGTATTTCGTGGTCAACGATCGGTGGCGTCGTTACAGCCGAGAAGCGATTGGGAACGGCAGCACCTCATCCAACATTAGCGTAGGCCATGTGAAATTATTATTACTGTTCAATGAGTCAGTAGCTGTAGATGTTTTTGTCATTTTCTGCAAAAACACAAAATCTCACCACGTGTTTTTGGTCTGGTTTCTAAATATCTTAGTGAGCTTGAAATAAGATACAAATTACTTTCAAGTAACTTTTCAGAAAGATATAGGAACTTGTTTTAAGTCAATAATTCTTCAATATTGACAGGAAAAAAGTATTAGATTATTGTACTTACATTTTCTTACATTTTCCCCGTGTTAAAAGTGAAATGATCTGCCAACGGTACTCGTACTTTTTCATCAACATTAAGAAATTACTGACATAAAAGAAGCTCCTATACCTTGCTTATAAGCCGGTTTTGTCTTATTTCAAGTGAACTAAGGCATTTAAACCAGAAACTGCGCCAGTTTGGTGAGCCGTTGTGTTCTTGCTGTGATGCAGCCCGCGTGTAAGGGCTGCAGTGGTTGAACATCTACATGCAGGCCAAGTTGAACGCAAAGCCTCAGAAGCAGAGTCCCTCTTGGAGAGCGGTTAGAAACACAATCTGTCAAACAGCTGAATCACATCCTCATTATCTCCAGACTCCTGCTAATCATTTAACCTGTTTGACTCGGGAATGATAAAGCAGTGAAACATCTGAAACTAGCAGGACACTGGCCCTCTAGGACTGGTCTAGAGAAGGCAGAATGTAAATACTTTGACCATATGGCGTATTTATTCATTGTTTTTAGTAAGGGGACCATTAGAGTCATAACTAAGATGTCTTTCTGCCCACATGCAGCTTGCAGGATTTCCTCAGGAGCAGGAAGCGTCGAGTCAACGGAGGCGATAACAACGGTGAGTCTTCTCTTTGCTTTTCCGACTCCCTGCCCAGCCAGCACACCTAGGTGGGCCCCATATGGGATATAAGTGGGCAGGCAATATGGGTCCCAAAAGGGTTTGTCCACGGTTTCCATGGTGGCCCCACATGGGTTTGCCCAAGTAGATTTTAATGGGTGCTAACTGGGTTTTCAGTGGGTCCCACATGGTTAACTCACATGAGGCCCATCTGTGGCCCACTAGGGTGCTGTCAAGAATATTTACGTGGGTCCCAATTGGGTCTGAACTGGGCTAGAATATGGGTAACAAGTGGGTTTGTCCACGGTTTCCATGGTGGCCCCACATGGGTTTGCCCAAGTAAATTTTTATGGGTGCTAACTGGGTTTTCAGTGGGGCCCATGTGGTTAACTCACATGAGGCCCATCTGTGGCCCACTAGGGTGCTGTCAGGAATATTTACCTGGTCCCAATTGGGTCTGAACTGGGCTAGAATATGGGTAACAAGTGGGTTTGTCCACGGTTTCCATGGTGGCCCCACATGGGTTTGCCCAAGTAGATTTTAATGGGTGCTGACTGGGTTTTCAGTGGGTCCCACATGGTTAACTTACATGAGGCTCATCTGTGGCCCACTAGGGTGCTGTCAAGAATATTTACCTGGGTCCCAATTGGGTCTGAACTGGGCTAGAATAGGGTAACAAGTGGGTTTCCACGGGTTCCATGGTGGCCCCACATGGGTTTGCCCAGGTTGATTTCAATGGGTGCTGACTGGGTTTTCAGTGGGTCCCACATGGTTAACTTACATGAGGCTCATCTGTGGCCCACTAGGGTGCTGTCAAGAATATTTACCTGGGTCCCAATTGGGTCTGAACTGGGCTAGAATATGGGTAACAAGTGGGTTTGTCCACGGGTTCCATGGTGGCCCCACATGGTTTGCCCAGGTTGATTTCAATGGGTGCTGACTGGGCTTTCAGCGGGACCCAGATGCCTTAATCCTGTAGGAACAATTCTCATCTAACCTGGATGTGAATTACATTCATAGATATGCAATCTTGATCAACAATCCAAAGTCTAGCTTAAAACGTGTTCAAATAAAAAATAAAAAAAAAGAGATGAAAAATTTATTTTGCTCAAGGCTTTTATTCAGTAATTTAAAATATTGTCAGGAGTTATTTTTTACCTCACTACAGCAATTATTAGAACTTCATTAATACTCAGGGAATGGTGCCACAAAAAGAAATCTGCAATTATTCACGACATCTTTGAAAATAACAGAAGCTAGTTTACTATAACAAACTTATAAACAGATCTATAAATATATATCTATAGATGCACACAAATAAAGACACCTACATATTTTCCTACAGGTCTATAAATGTATACATCTAAATACTATCTATATAACTTTATACACGTATATTCACATTGATACACACAATGTGAATATACACACCTATATAGATCTTTCACAATACATTTTTGTTAAACATTTTTAAAAATAACCTACATGCCATATGCATGCTTAAATTTGAAATCTCTCATACTTTACTGAAAACTGTCCATCTTGAAAGACCTCCCCAACCTGAGTTTGAAACTGGCAGTCTCTCTAGTCTATTTCCACTTCCACTCGGGCTCCAGTAAACCACTTCGAGAGTCTTTGCTGTATGCTTGTGTGATTCTGTAGATGGATAATTTCTTTTAAGTCCCCTGAAATAACAAGCAAAGGTAGAAATTGTATTAGTGTTTCATTTTAGCACAATGTAACATTCATGAGATTTGCATCTCCCCTTCATGGGGCAAAAATGCTTGCAGAGATATGCCATAATCAAAAGGACTCTTGAGTCATCATTATTATGTACAGAAACTATATTCTTACTGTAAATTTAAAATATATCCATCTATATAAATCAACTACTAGGTTCTATCGTGGTTTTGTGGTTATTTTAATATTGTTTGAAATGCAAACAATATTACCTTCAAATTTTTAAGTTCTTAACAACAGTGAAAGAATACTGTTCAAATAAAACCAAAAATTGAAGACTCAATTTTTAACCTAAAAACATTACTAAAAATAACAAACAAAAGCATAAAACAACCAAAATAAATTAACATATGTTTAAGAAAGAAAAGTGAAAAAAAAAAGTTACTCTGACAATAAAAACTGATATTTACCATACAAAACATCAAAGAGACGCAGGTCCAAGAGCTTGTTTCCAATGTTGGCCAAAAAGGTTGAACTGGACTTCCAGTTCATGGGACATGAGGAATCGCACAGCTGGTTGTATTGTGTCATCTAAGGATGCTCCTCCAATTTCTGTAGCCATGGCAACCTTAAGTACAATGACAATAACAGGACAACATTTTGTTTTTGTTCATCAGTTTGTTATTATATCACTCTTATGTGCTTAATTTTACTAACATATTAATCTACCTTTTTCAAATCATTATAAAGTGATCTTCACACGCTGATCCTCTTGAAGCCTGCATAAATATATATTTTATTAGTGCAATATAACATTTAGACTTTTCAAAAAATAAAAAAATTAAGGCAAAACAGCCTTTGTATAGATTAACTACTGAAGCCTTATATTGTAAACACTGAACAGTTTTGCAATTATCCTAATTTCTTTGTTAACGTGACAGGACTAAGACAGTAGTATTACTCTTAAGAGAAGTTTAGAAAATCACTATAAATGTAACTAATAAAGCCTAAAACATTGTACATATAAAAAAAATTAGAGCTACAATTAAATATAAGTACATTTCACATAACTGCTAGCTAAATATTGCAAAAATATCAAAAAGAATTTCTTCATCTTTCAATATTTGTTTCAGGCTTGGCCACTGATTGACATGATGGGTTTCAATTTACGGACCCACATGCAGTAACCACACGTTGGATAGGGATGAGTGAGTGATTTATTTACAACAGGACAAAATAAAATCTATTTCCCGGACATCAGCGGAAGGGTGAGGACCACTCGACCAGGTTGGCCTGAAACGAGAACTTAGTTATGACGGGCTTAGAATGAGTGATCGGAGGGGAAACAGGAACAGGCTTACTTCGGTGCGGGTCTTTCGAGGCGTGGGTGTGAGATGCCAGGTTCCTGAGAGAGGGTGTGCAGCGGTTCCGAAGGTAAATGCGAGGTGGGAATGGAAGAGAGCTGGAAGCTCGAAGGGTGGAGTGGAGGCAGTGGAATCGGCGGAGCGAGCAGGCAGGTATTCACTGGTGAGTTCTCGAATGAGGCGACAAAACCCCTAGGATCGAACAAACACAGAGACCAGGTGACTTCTAGTAGACACAGAAACATTCTCAGAAAACTGTTCACAACAGGAGAGGCCAGAGTGACTACCGGTGTATGCAACCATCTAGCATACACCAGTAGAATCTTCAGTCAAACTAGCGTAGACTGAAGATTCTGCTGCTCCTCCACCTGTGCCAAGCTCCACGGGCTCCTCACAAAGATCCTCGCTGAAATAAGATGCGACACTCACATACACACACAGGAACCCTGACACTGATGACTACTCTAGACCAACACAATAGCGGCAGATTGAAATAAACTCTGACATAACAAAACGCTTTAAAGTGTCACACAACAATTAAAAAAAGAATTTAAAAATATGAACTACAATGCCTTCATCCTATTTACAAAAAACCTTTTAGGCCCAATATACTGAAACCACATGGGCCCCATATAGTGTTCCCATTTCTGTCCCATGCCCAGTTAGCCCACGTTAATGCTGAATTGGGCCCATACATTTAACCCAATTGAGCCAACAATATGAGTCCCATTTCGGTTAACCTTTTGAGCCTCACGCAGTTGGCCCAGATAAAACCCATGCCCTCTTATCATTACCTATATAGCCCAAAGCTAAACGATTCAATGCAGTTTTATTGAAAAAAACGACAATAATAATCTTGCATGGGTCCCAGCCAAACCAGCCTGAATCCATACATGAGACCCACCCATGCATGCTGATGTGACTGTGAGAAAGATTATTAAAAGCCCAAGTACATAGAATGAAAGCACAATAGTTACTCTTTTTAAATCATACAAATGGTTTTATTGTGTCCAGACACTTTGTAACAACCTCTGCTAGCAACATAGATTCTTCAGTGAACCGATTCATTCTACCTCGTTGGCGCTCAAATGAACCAATGGCAGCTCAACAAATAGAATGGCGGCGGTATTTGAAAATGGTTTGGCCCACAACGCTGCGTTGAATCGGTCTGCACTAAAATCTGCTTATTGTGTGTAGCTGTGTGTGTTAGCAATATCAGAAAAAGTATCACCCTAAAGAAAAGCAAAAATAACAATAACAATTAAGTCTCTTTTGGGATACTGTCGTCCGATTTGTTACGAGCAACAATTTTTTTAACAAGCGATTTAAAATCTCTCCCTAAAATTTGGTACTAGGTAAAACAGAAGAAACATACTTACAGATTCTTTCGTAGATCAGCCAACAGGCAGACTCCGCGCCAACGGACTGATGAAGAGAACAGGCTTGATTTTGAAACCGCATATCCATCCGCGGGTCATTTACGTTTTCCAAGAAGAAACACAAGATTAATTTTTGAGAGTGCTACATCGGTTTAACAAATGTAAAACCGATGTAGCAAAAGTTCTCAATGTAAATAAATACATTTCGTTGTCCTCCTTATTCAAATATGTTTTGGAACTATTTTCTTCAGTGGATGTGTAAAGTGCCTACCGGTACTTCAATTCACCAACCTTTATTGGCAACGGTGCCTCAGAGCAAACAATGAACAAAAAGGTAATTGGAACCAAATGAATCATTAACAGAAATGTTACGTTTTTTTATTTTTTATTTTTATTTATACTGATGACTTGGAAAATGTTTGCAAATATATGAAAAAACAGATGCTCAAAATTTTACTCTTGTCTCTCACTTGCTAATGAGTTTTGTTTATTTTCTAAACATTTTGTGATATTTCACAATGGTCTTGTCCAAATAAAAATTTAAATCTTGCTGCGAACAGGCTGCAGTAAACTCTATGGATGTCTAAACATCCAATTGATAAAAAATAATAATAAAAATAAAATAAAAAGTTATTATTATTAAATAAAACAAGGACTAAAGCTCAACCATGACCACTCTGTGCTTAATTTTGAGTAAGCACCAGAATATGAGTTTACGTATATATTTCAAACAGATTATTCAAAAATGTTTTAAGACATTCAGACTGCAATAATAAAATGAAAAAAAAGTTAGGGGTTCAAAGTGTAGCAAGAGCAATACTGAACTGGCTTTTGCTTTGACATACAGTGAAAAGTTTGAAAGTGACAGGGTAACCACATTGTCGATTAAAATGTTCTACAATTTTGTCCCATTTAGACCATGAAAAAAAGTACTAGGGGCTACATTTTCCTGCCCAGGTCCAACCCATGTATGGTTAGCCCATGCTCATGTCATGTTAGTTTAATGTGGACAGCCCACATTGGGCTTCTCATGTGGGGCCCATGATACTGAAACCACATGGGCCCCAAATAGTGTTGCCCATTTCTGTCCCATTTCCAGTTAGCCCACATTGTTGCTGAATAGGGCCCATACATTTAGCCCAAATGGGCCAGCCCATAGGGGTCCCATTTTAGTTAACCATATGTGTCCCATGAGGTTTGCCCAGATAAAACCCATGACCACTCATTACCCATATGGCCTACTACAAACCCAAGGGGGGGCCCACTCATGCGTACTGGCTTGGAGACTGGACTGGACTGTTCTAGCATAAAATAATAACATGAAAAATGTTAAGGGTTCAAAGTGTGGCTAGAGCAATACTGAACTGGTTTAAAAAAATAAAGCATTGTAGAATTATTTTTAATGTTTTAATATCCTGGTCCTCTGGAAGCCTAGTGTTTGTAAATGAGCCAGGCATAGATATCACACAGTGAACATGTTTTAGGTTCAAACATTAGGAAGACATGGATGTTCTGTTCTATCAGCAAAATATATCCTTGGGTGATCTCCAAGACGAGGTCACCTTCGTCCTGGAGACCTCGACAATGGTCAAGGTCACCAACCTATCGTCGAGGTTTCCTACAAGGAAAAAATTAAATTCTACAATTTACCTTACATCAACTCCATTAGAGGCCAGCTGAGTAACAATTGCCTTGGCAAAGACTATAAAGCTGACATCTCGGGTAATTCTTTCCAAGTTTTGAGAATCTTGCTCTTGCAGCTTTTGCTTTGACATACAGTCAAAATTTTGAAAGTGACAGGTTAACTACAGGGGTTGGACAATGAAACTGAAACACCTGGTTTTAGACCACAATAACTTATTAGCGTGGTGTAGGGCCTCCTTTTGAGGCCAATACAGCATCAATTCGTCTTGGACAAGTATGGGCCAAGGGAATGCCATGATATGGCAGCCCACACCATCACTGATCCACCCCATGCTTCACTCTGGCATACAACACTCTGGCTGGAATGCATCTTTGGGGCTTCTCCACACCGTAACTCTCCCGGATGTGGGGAAAACAGTAAAGGTAGACTCATCAGAAAACAATACATGTTTCACATTGTCCACAGCACAAGATTTTCGCTCCTTGCACCATTGAAACCGACGTTTGGCATTGATACGAGTGACCAAAAGTTTGGCTATAGCAGCCCGGCTGTGTATATTGACCATGTGGAGCTCCCGACGGACAGTTTTGGTGGAAACAGGAGAGTTGAGGTGCACATTTAATTCTACCGTGATTTGGGCACCGTGGTTTTATGTTTTTGGGATACAATCCGGGTTAGCACCCAACATCTCTTTAAGACAGCTTCGTCTTGCATCCACAGTTAATCCTGTTAGATGTGGTTCGTCATTCTTGGTGGTATGCTGACATTACCCTGGATACTGGCTCTTGATAATCACAAAGACTTGCTGTCTTGGTGAACAATTTGCCCTCTTTTGAACTCCAGTATGTCCCAAATAATGTTATGTGCATTGCAATATTTTGAGCAAAACTGTGCTCTTACCCTGCTAATTGGACCTTCACACTCTGCTCTTACTGTTGCAATGTGCAATTCATGAAGATTGGCCACCAGGCTAGTCCATTCAGGCATGAAACCTCCCACACTAAAATGAGAGGTGTTTCAGTTTCATTGTCCAACCCCTGTACATTGTTCTACAATTTTGTCTCATTTAGCCCACTTAAAAAAGGACTGGGGTCTACATATCCACACCCAGGTCCAACCTGGGCGTGGATATGTACTGACCACACTGAACCCACAGTGGGTTCAGTGTGAGCCCATGCTCATGTCATGTGGGTTCAGTGTGGTCAGCCCACATGGTCTCCCCATGTTGGGCCCATGATACTGAAACCACATGGGCCCCACATAGTTTTGCCCAGTTCTATCCCATTCCCAGTTAGCCCACTTAAAAAGGACTGGGCCTACATATCCACACCCAGGTCTAACCCATATATGGTCAGCCCATGCTGATGTCATGTGAGTTCAATGTGTCTGCCCACATGGGCTTCCCATGTTGGGCCCATGATACTGAAACCACATGGGCCCCATATACTGTTGCCCAGTACTATCCCATTCCCAGATAGCCCACTTAAAAGGACTGGGGCCTACATATCCACACCCAGGTCTAACCCATATATGGTCAGCCCATGCTGATGTCATGTGGGTTCAATGTGGTCTGCCCACATGGGCTTCCCATGTTGGGCCCATGATACTAGAACCACATGGGCCCCACATACTGTTGCCCAGTACTATCCCATTCCCAGATAGCCCACTTAAAAAAGGACTGGGGCCTACATATCCACACCCAGGTCTAACCCATATATGGTCAGCCCATGCTGATGTCATGTGGGTTCAATGTGGTCAGCCCACATGGGCTTCCCATGTTGGGCCCATGATACTAGAACCACATGGGCCCCACATACTGTTGCCCAGTACTATCCCATTCCCATATAGCCCACTTAAAAAAGGACTGGGGCCCACATATCCACACCCAGGTCTAACCCATATATGGTCAGCCCATGCTGATGTCATGTGGGTTCAATGTGGTCAGCCCACATGGGCTTCCCATGTTGGGCCCATGATACTAGAACCACATGGGCCCACATACTGTTGCCCAGTACTATCCCATTCCCAGATAGCCCACTTAAAAAAGGACTGGGCCCACATATCCACACCCAGGTCTAACCCATATATGGTCAGCCCATGCTGATGTCATGTGGGTTCAATGTGGTCTGCCCACATGGGCTTCCCATGTTGGGCCCATGATACTGAAACCACATGGGCCCCATATACTGTTGCCAGTTCTATCCCATTCCCAGTTAGCCCACTTAAAAAAGGACTGGGGCCTACATATCCACCCCAGGTCTAACCCATATATGGTCAGCCCATGCTGATGTCATGTGGGTTCAATGTGGTCTGCCCACATGGGCTTCCCATGTTGGGCCCATGATACTGAACCACATGGGCCCCACATACTGTTGCCCAGTTCTATCCCATTCCCAGTTAGCCCACTTAAAAAAGGACTGGGGCCTACATATCCACACCCAGGTCTAACCCATATATGGTCAGCCCATGCTGATGTCATGTGGGTTCAATGTGGTCTGCCCACATGGGCTTCCCATGTTGGGCCCATGATACTGAAACCACATGGGCCCCACATACTGTTGCCCAGTACTATCCCATTCCCAGATAGCCCACTTAAAAAGGACTGGGGCCTACATATCCACACCCAGGTCTAACCCATATATGGTCAGCCCATGCTGATGTCATGTGGGTTCAATGTGGTCAGCCCACATGGGCTTCCCATGTTGGGCCCATGAAACTAGAACCACATGGGCCCCACATACTGTTGCCCAGTACTATCCCATTCCCAGATAGCCCACTTAAAAAAGGACTGGGGCCTACATATCCACACCCAGGTCTAACCCATATATGGTCAGCCATGCTGATGTCATGTGGGTTCAATGTGGTCAGCCCACATGGGCTTCCCATGTTGGGCCCATGATACTGAAACCACATGGGCCCCACATACTGTTGCCCAGTACTATCCCATTCCCAGATAGCCCACTTAAAAAAGGACTGGGGCCCACATATCCACACCCAGGTCTAACCCATATATGGTCAGCCCATGCTGATGTCATGTGGGTTCAATGTGGTCAGCCCACATGGGCTTCCCATGTTGGGCCCATGATACTGAAACCACATGGGCCCCATATAGTGTTGCCCAGTACTATCCCATTCCCAGATAGCCCACCTAGTTGCTGAATAGGGCCCATGCATTTAGCCCATATGGGCCAGCCCATATGGGTCTCATTTTAGGTTAACCATATGTGTCCCATACAGTTCGCCCAGATAAAACCCATGCCCACTCATTACCCATGTAGCCCACATCAAACACAAGTGGGGCCCACTCATGCGTGCTGGCTGGGTGCTTAAAAGCTGAACTCGGTTCATTGTTTTTGGAGCTCATAAAGTCATCCATGTTGCTTTGCTTGAAGACTGAGGTTTTTTTTTTATTTTTAAAGCAGTTATTCTGCTGCCTCCTTCCCATGATGCAATGCGTGTGACTTGACTTTCTTTAAGGGCCAGCGCCGTTGAAGGACATCAAGGCAAAGGCAGTGGACGAAATGATGGAGAGAATAAAGAAAGGCATTGTCCTGAGGCCCATAAAAAACATCCAGGTAAATAATGCGTTCTGAACGACGCTGATCTAAAGATGAAACTGATCGACTGTCTTGAGTATCTGCATCTCCTCTGCTTGCAGGAAGAAGACAGCTCATGGAGGGTCAGCTATAGATTAGTGTTTTTCTCTTTCACTTTATAAGAAGAATTATGCGATTCTTAATAGAATGTTTATTTTTCAAATACCGCATTCTCCTACAGGACCAGGGGAGTGAAAACAGAAAGTCAGCTGTCCTGGAGTTAAAGGGAATGCTGGTAATAAACCACCAGCTTTCATAACTTCGCCGAGACGAACAGCTGCTGACTTTCTGTCTATTTTTATCACTTTCTCGCGCTGTTTTGCCGCCCGCTGTCACAGGACAACATTAAACGGCAGCACCTCCGCAGGGTGCCCTCCAGGAGGGGCATCGGCAGGAACGTCGGGGAGGCAGAGCTGCAGCTGGTCCTCCAGAGGAGAAGAAGAGCGATGGGAGAAAATCAGGACCAACAGACCTGCGGTACAGCCACCTTTACTGTCCTCTGTGCTCGGAGATTTTACGTTTTTCACATTTTTTTGAAAAACCTTCTCCTGTTATACTGGGGATCCCTCCATTCAGTATTTGTGGAATCACCTAGTGGCAGATTTCTGGGGGACGTTTTGTGTAATGATTTGCAGAAAATTCACCTTGCTGATTTTTTTTTTGGCAGAGTATATCTAAAATATTTGAATGAAAATGGAGCTTGGGTAGTTAAAATGTCACTTGAAAGCGATTTTATCCACACAAAAGTGAAAGAATTTGATCTTTAAAATAAGAAAATGCTGCATGGCGTCCAACCGTGGAAGGACGGAGGCCGAGAGCGCCGCGCACATCCGAAACGAACCTCTTTGTCCGAACGGACGTGTTCCGGTGCGTCCTGCAGTTCTCCTTCTTTGGCTTCGTGCTTAACCTGAATCTGTGCTGATCTCTCGCTCAGATCTCCAGCCGGGGCCGCAGCGCGCCCCAGCAGCAGGCGACTGTCCCTGGGCCGGCGAGAGCGGCAGTGCACCTGTGCTCCGGAGGCTGAAGCAAAACCGGGAGAAGAGAGATTCCCGCATCAGAGCCTCAGCGCTGATCATCAGCCAGCGCTGAGGCGTACGGCAGCCTCTCCAGCCAAACGTGCCATCATAACGTAAAGACGCACTCCAGTAGCTATAATGGTCACTGCCTGAGTTTTGGTTAACGTTCAAATAAAACACGTTAAATAAACCATTCTGTTCTTCTTTTAGTCATTTTACTCTATGGAAATCAAAGGATCTGGCTACAGAGTGATGTTTGACCTTGCTGTGACGTATACCTGAGCTTTTTCAGCTCTATTTAATGTCCAGCAGCCTTCACACCCCCTCCTTCATGTTTCACCAGATGTAGGTTAAAGGATTATTTCTCTCTCTCTCTCTCTCAACAGAAACTAGATAAAAGATGACCAAAGCCATTAAAACCCTTCTATGAATACCCTCGCCCACTTCCCTCCCTGGGTGTCTCTTTCTTTCCCGAAGCGTGATCCGGCAGCAGAATGCAGGCTGCCTCTTATTCTGGCACATTAAGGCTGTCACACCCCGAGTCCGGAGGCGTCGCTGAGATAAGAGCCACGGCTTCCCCTCCTGAAAGTTTTTAAATAAATGCAGCTTCCACCCCCCCTCCTTTAGTTTTCTCACCTCTCCTCAAATGCTGCACACATATATATATGGGTGCATGGATGAATGAATGCACACACCTTTGCTCCTCGCTGCCCGTCTGTACGCCTCAGCTGAAAGCATTTGAAGAAAAGAGGACATTCCTCTCACCTTTCACTCTGACACCGTTTTAGTGTCTTCACGCTGTTTTGCATTATATATTTACCTTATTTAACACTTGCCTTTTTCACGCCCAGGTCTGCATTTTTTATTGTTTTGGACCCCGGGTCTTAAAAGTGGCGCCTTTTAAGACGTAGAAATGCATGGCATCTGCTTTTTTTGTTTTTGTTTATTGAATCGACACTGTTTGTGTGTGTGTGTGGTGTGTGTGTGTGTGTGTGTGTGTGTGTGTGTGTGTGTGTGTGTGTGTGTGTGGTGTGTGTGTGTGTGTGTGTGTGTGTGTGTGTGTGTGTGTGCATCCTTGATGTGTGAGTGAGTGTGGGTTAATGACGCAAATAAAGAGGGAAGAATAGCGTAAATTTGTGTTTCTTTTCCTTTTAACATGTTCTATGGAGACAACTTTTCTGGTCATTTAAATATCATTGAAATAAGTATGACACTCATAATCTAGATGTCAGAATTTATGAAATATAAATCCCATCTTGAACCATTTCAGTATTCTTGGAAGAAGCCGCTTTAAAGCAGAAGTCCTGTTCCATTTTAAGGTTGAAGTCCTCATAGGTTATTTAGTTTTTCTGTTACGTTAAGGCCTGCAGCTCTTGATACGTTTCCATGTACGAACTTGAGAAATTTGTATAACAAAAAGACATGAACATTGCAAACTGAACACCAGACATGCTAAAGATTCATTCAACAAAACACATATTGATGGTCTTCAAGGCTTTTGGGAAAAAAAAAAAAGTGTTCTGTGGATTTACTTTTGAAAGATGTGCTTCCTGTTACGTTTGAACTACAACTGACTGACATGATGGAAATAAGTTACGTTTAATGGAAACACAAGTTCTATTGTTTATCAAAAAGTCCTTATGGAGAATGTCTGACTATCAGGTCCGAATCAAGCAAGACTTCATGCAGCACGACAATGATGCCAACATTTCCAACTCTGAATTCCTCGAAAAAACAAAACAAAATGAAGCCTTTAGAGTGGCCTAGTTAAAGTCTGTCCTTGAACTTGACTGAGATGCTATGGTGCAGCCTATACATGCAGCGCATGGTTGAAAACATGCCAGTGAGGGTAAATAAAAAATAGTTCTGCTATGAAGAGTCAAACAAAATTCTTCCAGGTTGATGTGAAACAAACATTGACAGCAAATGTTTGATGGCCAACAAGGGTGGTACACCCAGTTATTACAGTTAGAGGGCAAATAACTATCTTAGTTATTTGACTGGTGGGTTTGGATAGCTTCTTTCCTTAATAAATGACATTATGATTTATTTTTGTTTACTTACTCATGCTGCCTTTGTGATATCAAAATTAGTTTAATGATTTAAAACTCTTCGGTGTATCAAAAATTGAAGAAATGTGTAAAGAGGCACTGTACCCGATCTGTGAGACCACCAATCAGAGTCGAGTGATGCCAGAACCATTCCTGTTGCTACTGTTGGAGAAACCTTAATTGAATTGTCTCGTCTTGCTAAGTTTCCTTTAATCCGTTCATTTACTGGTTTTAACTTCGTCTTTTCAAAGTCATAGTTTCAATCGTGAGCAAACTAGTTCAACGTTTCTAATTAAAACAACTTACAATTTAACTTTTATTGACAAAATCGCAATCCCTGCTCCTACCACGGGTGGCGCTGTAGCGACAGCGTCGCAACCTTCTCGTCAGAAAAAAAAAACAAAAAAAAAGAACTCCCTTCTTTCCTGCACTTGTTGACTCGGGCTGAAAACACAGCGGAAAGAGCTCTGACCAGCGCTAGCAGGCAGCTAGCTTATTTCAGCCTTTATTCTCTTTATTGTGCGTGTTGTAGCTTATGCAGAGAGATGTGGTTTATTTATTTACTGAGCTGGCTGTCGCTGATCGTCCAAGTGTCCTTCGTCACTCTAGCGATAGGTGAGTTGAAGCTGAGTTTGCCCGCAGCTGATAACGCAGCGGCTCAAATTAGCTTGGTAATGCTAACGCCGTGAACAGGTGAATCAGCTCAGGTGAACGTCAGCAGAGCTTCGATAAACAAGATTAATGTCGCAGTTTTTTTTTTTTTTTTTTTTTTTTTACATCACCGGGGTGATTGCCACACAGAAGATCCAATTTATGTGTAAATTTGTTGAAAATCAGCTAGCTAGCTGGCGTCTAATTCCAAGCTTCTTTAGTTCCTTGAGGGTTTACTGTAAAACTAATCTTATAATCTAGAACAAACTCTGATATTACTCGATTAACTCGAAGATCAGAGTTGCAGCAGCAAACCGAAACTTGAAGAGAACATTGCTTTCAGTTTCACAAAGTCAGTGGGAAGTTGATTATATGTGGAAACAAAGTACAAATGTTTACTGATATTACTCAGTAATTAATAAATTATTGCCCAGAACAAACAAACCAACAATATTAGACTTGAGGATCAGTTTAGCTGGCTGGTGTCAGGCAGGCCTCTTTATTTTCTAAAGTGAAACATTATGAGAGAGAAAAAAATAGACTTTAATATTGTTTTTTATATAGGACCGAAGAAACAATCCAGAGATGACTTATTCATTTGTTTTATTGAATAAGTTTGCTTCAGTAGGAGATATTTGCACACCTATAAGTTTTGTCGATGCTGCAGTTTGTTTTAGTTTTCTTCTGGGGCTCGTTAAATTTGCTATTCGATAATGAAATTATATTATGTTGAAAAGTATTTTCTAAAGAGAAGCTGGTTAGGAAAAGACAAAAAAACAAACAGAAAAATCCAATTAAATCAAATTGTTTCAGTGAAACTACAAGCTAAACCAGAGTGATAGCCAGATCCTTCCTACATTTTTTTAATTAGTTGTGCATCAGAGGGTATTTGAGGATTTTAACTCAAGCTAAATTAAACTAGACGAAAGTCTTAAAAAATGTCTCCTACTACTCTGACCTACGTTTCCCCGACACGCTACTATGGATTATTTCAAATTGTGCAAATACCAAACACTAAACCGTACCAACAAATATTGAACCGTTCGTAAAGATAAGATTGTGTGCTATTTGGTCTAATCTAACTGGTGGAGAGGTGAGTATGGTTAATAAAGATCAAGTTTCAGTTTTAGAGAAATGTTTGTTTGTTAGTGTTTTGACTGGACTCCAGTCTGACTCCAGTCTTGCATCGGAGATGTTTTGCAGCCTACGTAATCCCAGCTATTTACCTTCTGTCTCCCACCAGCGGCCGGCCTATACTACCTGGCAGAACTAATAGAGGAGTACACAGTAGCCACAAGTCGAATAATAAAATACATGATCCTGGTGAGTATGCTGGTGCGGAACGACGCACTTTTGAATTCGTGCGGTCCAGTTGTACTGGAGTCTCACTGCGTGTGAATCTACGTCCAGTTCTCGACAGGCGTGCTGGTGTGTCTGTACGTCTTTGAAGGTTTCCCTCTGTTCATGGTGGGCGTCGGCCTCTTCACCAACCTGGTGTACTTTGGCCTCCTGCGAACCTTTCCCTACATCCTGCTCAGCTCTCCCAACTTCATTCTCTCCTGCGGTGAGCACGACTTGGATCAGGTTTCATTATATTCTGTCACAGAGTTCACCGACACTGAAGAAAATGTTTATATAATAAAGCAACACACTGACTGTTGAGGCCTGATTAGCCGCTTCTGGTCACTTGTTACTGATTTCAATGTGATTTCTGTTTTTTACACTGCAGTGTTGGTGGTGGTGAACCATTACATGGCCTTCCAGTACTTTGCACAAGAGTATTACCCGTTCTCAGAGGTATTGCATTTCATTACAGCTCTGGGAGCATGGGAATGTGTTTCTTGTCCAGTTTCTTACCGACTCTTTCTGACCGGTACCAGGTGCTGTCCTACTTCACCATCTGCCTGTGGGTCATCCCGTTTGCCTTCTTCGTGTCGCTGTCAGCGGGAGAAAATGTACTTCCGTCCACCATGCTGCAAGGAGGTGAGAATTTGGTTCTAGCTGAAAATAGTTCAGCACAAGTACAACCTGCCAAGCCTACACCTGACATGCAACCGAGAGAAAAATGTGCCTTTGCTTTACTGTTTTTTTTTTTTTCCAATATTAACTTCTACTCACAAACATCCCAACATTTTTGGAACTGATAAGAGGATTGTGTTTCTGAGGCGATTTTAGTCCATCGATCAGATCAGACGTGGGTAAAAATCTCTGTCAGGTTGTTAAAATGTGGATATATGTCATTTAACGCTAACCATGACCGGAAATATTTTAAATACAGGATGCCTGCGCATCCTTAAAAAGTCTTAAATTTGTTCATCTTTTAATTAAGGCCTTTAATTGTCTTAAATTTATTACAAAAATTTGCATTGATCTTAAATCTGATGGTCGCATATTAAATTTTGCTGTGGCAGTGCTTGTTTAATGTCTGATATGTAGTTGTTTTTTCCTTGCAGGACTTTTTTGTCTGGGAGAAATTTATGCACAGACGTCTTCATTGGACTCTGTGGCTCAGTTGATGCTAAGATTACTAGCTAATAACTGCTAATATGCGTTTGCTAGCTTTTTTTTTTGTTACTAGGAGGATGAGGCTCATTTTCACCACAATTATTTTCTTGTCTGTACCAGATTTCTTTCTTTCGACCTACCCGTTCACTTCAGCTCGTTTGAAGCCCCCCCTTTGACGATTTATTCTTCGTCTGTGTTGCTCTTTTTCAGACGACGTTGTGTCAAATTATTTCACCAAGGGCAAGCGGGGCAAGAGGTCTGGGATCCTCCTCATATTCTCCTTCCTGAAGGAGGCGGTACTGCCCAGCCGACAGAAGATGTACTGACGGCCTCGGATTCGGGGGGCCGGGGATGCGTAGGCGTGTGGAGAAGTTGGACAAGAAGCGGCGGAGCAAGAAGAACGTTGGAAGTCCTTTGTGGATTGGACTGAAGCTAAGCAGTGGCCAAAACGTGGAAGGAAGTGCACAAAAAGGAAGGACCAATAAACAGCCTGGATGCTGGATGATTAATTGAGTTTACAAAGGCCATGTTCATCTTTGGGTTTGTTGCGACTGCCAAGAGCACCTCTTTGAGACCCTTGTTTTTAGGGATCATGACTGTAGCGCAGTGATTGTTTTGTATCATCGACATATTTTTTAAGCTTTAGTATCAAAGCAATTCTGACAGAGGGGTTTAAAATACTAAGTGACAAACTGACAAACCTGTTGCGGTTGGATAAATCATAATTGGATTTTCTTTTAAAGATTTATTCTTGTCATTTTTGTGTTTGTCTGATTAAGTCTTCAAGGTAGCACCAAAGTCGCGCGGAGGGGTGAAATATTTTCCACTAAATGAGTAAAATAGATCAGAGCGAATGAGTAATGGTATGAAAAGCGATAACCTTAGAAAGCACAGCGAAAAACATGTCAAACGCCTCGGCTACCGAAACTGACAAGAGATCCAGCAATCGCTTTTAAGGGTTACTTGAGAGCCTGCGAGGGAGTTGTCAAACAAATATTATGACTTTCATAATATTGTAGCCTAATAAAAATATACTTTGTAGCTTTATTTTCTACAAAATCGCTCAGATAAATGCATATTGTAGGTCTCAAATTTCAAAGCCTCACTTTTCTCTGGATCAATTAAACTGGGTGTTTGTTCATTTCGCAGTTTTGGTTTTTGTACCGCATGGGGGGAGGGGTGTAAATGAATTGTTTCCTGGACGACGCGACTGTTTCATTCATCTGAGCTGGGTTGGGGATGTTTCATAGCAGCAGCGCGTCAGTTTGTGTCTCCACGTTTGTGTTCTTGTATGTGTTGGAGGACGTTTCTTCACATTTTGGGATGTTTTGGACAGATTGTGTGGCAATTTGCACTTGTTTTTGGAGACATTTGTTTGGCAACAGACACCTATTGGTACCTAACTACCAAGTCAATTAATAATAACAACTTTGGACGTTTCATACCTAACACAAGTCATCTTGATGGTGGAAGTTTTTTTTTTTTGTCTACCAGATTTGACAGCCAAGGTCTTAAAGCAATTTTATAAAATCGGTTCATTTAAGAAAATGCTGTGATGAGATTCTAATAAGCCCGATATGCAGGTTATCAGAAGGTTACTGAGTTATTATGCATTTATGCATTAATCAGGGATCGTAAAATCCGGGGTCAGAAGAGCCAACTGGTCAGAACCTCAGTCAATGACAAGTAAAGAAAACCTGGTTAATTATCTTTCCATATAAACTGAAAACATTTTTGCGTCGTTCATGACTATAAAAGTGTCTAACGGCACGAAATTGAGGTTGGTTGGAACAAAATGAGCTGGATTATAAACCAGCACTTTGTTTCATACACAACCTGGACCCGGGGCTATTGAGAAATGTGGTGAACCCTGTTGTAAGTTTCGGAACAACTGGATCTTGATTTTACCCAATCGCTAACATTTGGTTGTCACGTATGTAAACTGTGAGTTCAATGAAGTTCACTGGGAACTGCGTTCACTGACCCAGTCGCCTACATCCGGTCACGACTCTGCAGCACTGACGACCGGCGACTTGTCTTAATGTTATAGTAAGAGAGCTTTGTTGTTCTAAAAGTACCTAACACTACATTTGACATGAAAGCTTTTTATGTCAAATCAAACCTGTGAAATGAATTTTTTTTTTTTTTGCAGGATTACTGATACCGAAGGACAGAAGCTGCAAACTGATTTTATAAAAGAAACGTTAAAAGCGGCTGAAACCGTTTTCACAAAATTCATCATAGGTCGGTATGTGCACAGATGTGAAATAAATAATTTTGTGAAAGAAATTTGTGGAATTAGTTTGATGTTTAAAGGAAACAAAGTGTTGCGGTCATAATCTCCAGTTCAATAAGGTCAGTGTATCCAGTTGACCTTCGCCTGTCGAACTGAACGGGATAATGTTAGTCCAGACTCATGTGACTTGGTCACAGGGGGGAGCACCGGGTTCATAGAGGTGTGAACTCCGACCCCGACGGAGGTGTGAAGTGCTTCGTAAAGTAAAGGAAAAAGACACACGCACTCCAGAACACCAAACGCCTTCAGCTGACAGACTTGTGACCTGTGGTTCCAACTCGCATGCTTGTTCAGAACCCCTCACCTGGATCCTGGTTCATTTCCCCCGGGGCAGATCAGTGGAAGTGCATACATCTGTGACAGGCGACGCAGTTCACTGAGGTTTTCTCACCTTTCACTCACCCTGTGCCAGCCCTGCTTTCATTGGGGTAGCATCTGGAGAGCACGACATGTTTGGCTTTGTCACTTTGGCTGCGCATTGTCAAACCCTGGGATATGCAGCGGCTCTCTAAAGTCTACACGTTTCTTTCATAATTCCAACTTTTCAAAGACCACGACAAATCACTTGAAAAGTTCTTTGCCAATCTAATTGTTGGGGTTTTAAATTTCATGCTGTTTGGCTAATGTTTGCTCCAGATATTTCTGTATGCACTGCCCCAGTCTGATACTATGAAGTTTACTGGAAATTGCTTGTGCTGTAGCCAACCGTTCTCCACCATAGAAAAGTGATCGAGCTGAACGAGGCAGCCGTTAACGTTAATCGATATGTGGACACACGGTCAACATGGACTGAAAAGCTTTGTTCACTTTCTCCGCTCCCACTGCTAAACCTACAGGATGACTTCAATTCTAAAGCATAGCAGAACATCAACGTCATTCTCAACTTCTTCTGTTCGCTCATAGACCTAGAGCAGTGCTTCTCAATTATTTTCCGTTACGCCCCCCCTAGCAAGAAGAAAACTATTCGCGCCCCCCACTCCCCACCGTGGCTATCCATCTCTGCATAACATTTTTTCCTTATTAACATTTTTTTCGCTGAAAAAACTCTAGCGGCTTATCGGCGTGATTGAGATGTAACGTATTTAAGTGACGCGCTAATTTATTTGGCTTCATGCTGTCCGCTGCGAGCATTTTTAGACACAGCAAACACACCGGTCTTTCCTCTTCTCCAACTGTAGTCACAGTGAAGCCAAGCGCTAAATAAGATTTGTCGTATTTCCTCTTCTTAGCTTTCGGTTGACTTTCTGTTGTCTCATTATCTTTGTCTCTCTCCGCTTTTTTTTCATCCCTGTGAAAAACTTTTTCATGTTGGGGGTTGTTGAATAACGGAGGCCATAGACAGAACGCAGTCGGAGCTTTTTGACTTAACACTGCCAACCAAGGCAAACCTGTTGTCTTGTAAGTCGTAAAATGTTGCACTGTCGCAAACGTGACAGAAGTAACAATGAGAGCGCCACTGCCGCCTACTGTGCGCAATTACACTTTATACTAGTTCGGCCAAAAAAAAGCCTGTTCCCCAGGATCACGCGCCCCCCCAGGTATCGCACCGCGCCCCCCAAAGGGGGCCCGCCCCACTATTTGAGAAGCACTGACCTAGAGGAACATGGAGGAATCCAGTTCAATGGGAGAAAAGCCAGGCAGAGCACTCAAGGGAGATGAGAATCGAGCGGGATTGAACAGAATGCCGACGGTCGGGCTAATGTTCCTCAGCTGGTGGTGCTCTGTGCTTTAACTGCACTTCCTCCATATTTCAGAAATGGATACAGGAGAGTGTTTTCATGAGTACAATATAACATGGACTGGCTGGAAAGTACTTTACTGACCGCTCTTTGCCTAAATTAGTTTTGGAAAGGCTTCTGGTTTTGGTTCCTGTCATTGAGCAATGAGTATATTTACTCTAACACTTCTCATAACTGACTCCTTTGTGCAATAAGATCTTGATGCTCTGTAACCTCGCGTTGGGCTGAAGGATGGAAATGTCAAGCAAATCGATCTAGAACAGCTGAACTCTATTTCAGGTTTATCAGATTCATTAAAACCCAAAAAATGTCATGTGTGCTCTTGTGAAACCAGGATATTGCACTAAATTCAGTTTTTAAAAACTAACTCTGACATTTTTGTTGAAATGTACAAAAAATGGGAAAGTTTGGAAATTATTCTTCATGACTGGAATCTTTTTTATGGGGGAAAAAAAACCCTTCAATCTAACAGTGTGTCCACTATAGGGACCTTCTTTAGCTGTAAGATCAAGCAGACTTGTTATTTTGTGGAGCTCAGGATTATTTGTGTAGCACATTTACACCCCAGCGGTGCACATTATGACACGATGCTTTTGCTAGCAAACATAAAATCTGGTGAAATAAGTTCACTGCTTTTTCACTGTGCCTCGTCGACCTACTTAATGTGGAACAAGCACTTTGTCTGATCTTATCATTTCTGTTATTTGGGAACAAATCATCTCTTTGGGGGTTTAATGGTTGGAACTTGTGCACTTTGGGTAATCCGACAGATATTTGATCAAAGTTGTTTTACTCAGGAAGACTGTTGTTCTAACAACATCTACATGCGAAGCCTCAAAGTTTTTTCTACATCATCTTCTATGGGATGTTAAACTTAATTTTATTGCCTGGACGTGAGGAAGACTAGTAGTGTCCCAGCTCCAGGACTTCAACCAGGTGCATGAGAATCTCTGTCCAGGGAGAGGTGCTAATTCCCTGAGGGAATCCTTTGTGCTTGACATTCGTGATGTCCCGCGGCTCAAAGTCCCGTGGCGTGTGGAGCCGAGAAGAAAACGCTTTGGGAAACAACAACCTCTGAATCGTATCCAGAGGCAGGTTGGGAGCGAGGTGAGGCGCCGTGTCCCATTTGGTCATGAAGTGAAGCCTGTTGATGCTGTCCTTTAACAAAATGACGTCTTTCCTGAGGTCTGGGTCTGTGGAGGGTTTCTCTGGGTGGAGGCCAAAGACAGTCCAGGGACTTTCGCATAAGGGCTTCTGCTGTGCTTTGGAGATGTTCTTCTTTTTCTGAATGCGTTTGGACTCCCCTTTGGCAGGTTTTGGTTGCCTCTTGCTCTGCTCTGGTGAGCTGCACCAATTGTGGTATTTGGACGGCTTGGACCTGGGCGTAAGCGTCTTCGGCGGAGGCAAGCCTTTCTTCTTCGCCCACTCTTCAAACATCTCTTCGATAAAGGACTGTTGAAGCAAAAATCAGAAGTTAAAGTAATGTCCAAACGTTTAACAATTCAAACTGCTAAATGGTTCATGCTAAGTATGGGAAATTATCTTGATATGTCATATAATTCTATCATCAACATCAATATTGTTATCAATTCAACTAAGAGAACTATTAGTAATACTCGTACCTAAAGGAGTATTGTAAGTACATCTTTGAATTTACTGCATTAATAAGTAACCTGAGAGTAGAATGAAGATATTTTGCCACGATACTCATAAATAGGAAGATATCATAATTGTGGCATATTGGAGAAGGATTGGGTTTTACTGCTACCGAATCCTATTAATGGTTTTTAATTTATTAATGTCATTTTATTTGTGATATATAACTGAAGCTAGAGTTTTATGCCTTAACGGAGACTTCGTAGTTAATTCTATGATAATGTTTTGCGGTGTAGATGCTACGCACTCACCTGTTTGTCCAGATTTTTCTGCTTGACCAGATCTATGAGATCTCTGTATAATATCTGGGCAAACGTTATCTCCTCCATTTCTTCCAACTTTTTGTAATGCCACAAGCTGTGCTTCAACAACCTGAAAACACAGAGGGGCTCGGTTTGAATCAGTCCGACTTAAGATCGTTTTGAGGCGCTTTCGGTTCGTCTACCGCGCTATCTTCCTGTGGTTCCAGATGTGCGCCATGTCCAGAGGCGTCAGTCCCATTTTGTCCTTCGCCAAAATATCCGCTCCGGCCTTCACCAGCATTTCCGCGCAGTTGTAGAGGCCCCTGGTGACGGCAATGTGCAGCGGGGTTTCCCCTGAATTTGTTTTGCTAGCATGGAACGAAAAGAAAACAAAAACAAACAAAAGAAAACGTTTCTTTTTAAAATTCACACTGTGCTTTTTTAAAAAATTAATTAACTGATGAATTAATTTGTTTTACAGTCAATAATTCTTAAATCCAGTTGGTTGTAAAAAAAAAAAATGCAGTTGAATCAAATACCAATGTTCATAAAGAGAATATTTCTGTAAGAAGGGGCCTGACCCGTCGATAGCAGCTCGGCGCTCCATCAGGTATTTGCAAACGGTGTGTGTGTCAGAGAACCGTTTTGAGGACAGAACGACGTGCAGGGGCTGGCGACCTTTAGAATCTCTGAGGTTGACCCACAGCGGCCTGGCCTCTATTATGAGCCGGATAGTCTGCAGTTCACCGTACAGGCAAGCTACATGCAGGGCTGGGAGGTTCTCCTGGACAAAGTGAAAAAGCATTTTTATAAGGCAGCTTTAAACAGACATAATAGACAGTGATCCTGATTTAATGGCACTCTGAAATCTATTTGTATTTGATTGCACTGATGGTTCATTTTTACAGGGTTCTGGGACATTGCTACCTGGAAAATGTTTTCTAAAGTCAGTGTTCAGTTTGTCTTAGCCAAGTTTATAACCATTAAAACAAAAAATGTTGTCCTTATGGCTGACGATGTTATGGCTGTAAATATAAACCCGGCAAAAAAAAAAAACAGACTGAGATGAAGTAATAGACAGCTGGACTAAGGAACATTGTAATGGATACATGTATGTATGCACTGACTCTTGGTTAAAATGAATGAATGAATGAAAAATGGATGTACAGAATGTTAGAAAAATCAGACTTATGAATGAAGGGGTAATTGGATAATAATGGATGAAATAGATGACATTAGAAAGTCATCTATTGGGACTTTCCATTTTTGTCCAAACATGTAAAATATTGAAATGAAATGATTTTTTTATTTTTTTTTGCACTTTACTCAGAAATAGAGAAACACGTTTGATATACTCTCGTTAAATAATAAAAACCCTAAGCGGTTCTGTGCGACAGTCACCATCATCTACACGTGTTTTGTTTATTGAAACGAATCAAACATGGCGGCAGGTTCGGATGTGCCCAGTCCGTCCTCACCTCCGCCAGAAACTCGAGGCTGTCAACATCCGGCAGCACCGGCCGACCAGACGAAGCTTTACGGGAACCTTTCCTGCGAATCAGAACCACAACGACAGAGCTGTAGAACCTCAGAACTGAAGCTAGGAGGGAGGATTTTACTTCATTTGCCAACATAAACAAACTTTAACTTCACAATATGGGTAACGTAAAATGTTTCAGTACGCGACTGCATTCAGAGATAACTCATGGGGGGGGGAGAACAACTCGGACCCAAGGCTTCAGAAAAGCGAAAAAACGTCAAAAGTTTCCATGTTTTTTTTTAAGTTGTTTACCTGCTCTTACCTCGTCCGCGGCCTCGTTTCCTGCTTGTGTGGGGAGCGCTCCATGGTTGCCAGGGAACCGTCTTACCGATACACGCGCACGCCTGTCGTAAGCTGCTGAAAGCTGCGTACGGCAGCTGTCGTGCAGGTGAGCTGCTCTTTGTTTTGTCAGCGTGAAGACGGAGATGGTGAACTTTTATTCGGGGAATGTTCTCACACTGCAGTGTTTTTTGGACAGGCTTGTAAAAAACTCGTTTCAGAAAAAAAGGGAAAAAAATATTGTTTTATCAAATTTACGTGTTTTACTCATCTTTAACAATTCACCTTTCTCTTTAGATGAAATGAATTTAGTGAACCTAATTGAAAATATTTTGTTCACGAGATGAAATGGGAGTGAAAAAAATCCCCTCTTTTAGTAATTTTCAAGAAACTGACTTAAAAATGTATATTGCCTCTGTTGAAAAACTTTAATAATAAGAAAAAAAAACTTCTCCAAAAATGTAACTCATAAGCAGATCTGTCTGTTATTCTTTTTCTTCTTTTTTTGCCTTAATGTTCTCTTCGCTATAATATACCCTTCTTCATATGCATTTGAATATATTTTTGACTTTGTTACGAAAACCTAACTGAAAAAGTACACATCATTTTATTTTACCAATGTATATATTTATTTAACTTTTGCCTTTCTAGACTTTACACCCTCAATATCTGTGATTGTTCTTCATTTGTTTTTATTATAATATTTTAATATTTGTCTTTGAGTTAACATTTGTATGTATGTTCATGTTATTTGTTTGAAATAAAGTATAAAAAATAGAGTTACACGGCATTGTCGCTGTATCGTTCTAACAATATTTTTCACGTTTGAACAATATAATATGACGTTATTATGATATTGTAATGTTTTATTTATTTTTTTAAACTTTTTGTTTGTCCAATATATGTTTTCTTCACAAATTATAGAAAATACATAATTGAAAATAGTTTGTCAATTTAGGTACAAATTCTACCTAAAGCGATCTAAACAAATGTCTGATTTTGATTTAAACAACATAAACATTCTTTTTTTATTACCATTAAACTGAATCCGCATGTCTATTCAGTACTTATCCAGAACCCACATGCAGCTTAAGGCTTTGTGTGACGGATGGCGGAGAGACGGATACATCCTGTCTTCCTTGCCTGTGTCCCACATGCAGACTGCGTCCTGATGTGCTCATATCGATGGTGCATCAGCAGTTACCCACTTGCTCTTGGCCTTCGGTAAAACAGATCAATCCTGCCAATGCCGTGGAGACGTCAGAAGGATCCCAACGGCTGCAGGCTGCATGTGAATCTGATGCGCCGTTGTTTTCTCCCCTGGGCAAGGCGGATCGATTCTCACAGCAGGCAGGAGGCCACCTTGTTTACAGCTATTGACCATTTGACCTGTCGGCGAACTAGACATGACGGATGGCGCTTTTGTCAAGAAAAAAAAAAAATAATGTAGAGATTGTAACACTGTAGTTTACATTTTGGAACTGTTCTCTCAACGCTCTTCATAATACGTAGCATCTCAAACACGGATTTGATTACTGTAAATTAATGCCGTTAAGGATTATTAGGTCTAAGTCATTTTTGACATATCATTTTCATTCCAGAACATAAATAACATATTATTATTTATTCTCCTTGAGATTCTTATATCATACTTGTCATTTCCTAGTGGAAACAAACATGTTGGTTTATTAGATTTATGGTTAATTAATATCTGCCTGAGATATGAATAATTTTGGTCTCAACTGTAACAACATAAAAGAAATGTCACTTTCAAAACTAGCTTTCTGAGAAAGTTAAGCATTTTAAGCAGTCCACTATCAAAATGCTGAAAAATCAAAACATTGTAATGGATGGAAATCACTACATAACTTGGTCATTTTAATATTTATAATGAATATATTAATGTTGTATGATTTTTAAAATGAAAATATTCAAATTATGAATTTTCTCATAAAGTACGCTGTCTTGTTAAAGTTTGCAACAGACAAACAAAATAAAAACACATCCAAGTTCATATCTACGATGTTTTTTCTTTCTGACTTTCTGAATTAAATAGATCACAAAAACATTTGCCTTCAGTGATTATCCTTGAAAAGAGCCACAAATGACAAACACCTCAGGCAGATCCTGGAAATGACAGCGTCGAAAACTTTCAAATATCAATGTCACAAATTTCATCTCCCCTAAAGTTTGCAATAAAACTCCAATCTATCACTTACCACCGACTTGCCTTTTTCTAAAGCTTTCAGCCACATTTATCAAGTTAGTAAACTTAATAATTCATGACTCAGTCATCATGGATCACTGTAAAATTTTCACTTTGAGCTCTCAGGACCCATAATCAATGTCCCCATACTCTCTCTGGCTGGCCTAAAACTCATATTTGATTCATTTCTTTAATAAGCAACTTCGCCTTTCACTCCCCATCATTCTCCGGGTCCGGTGCGAGGTCAAGGACGGGCCATGAACCCGTGGCTTCCCGCTGTGAGCCTGCGTCCCCCGCGGGGCCGCCGCCTTTGTCGTTACCCGGCCTTGTAGCCCGATGACGCAGATCCGCGTGTGCAGGGGAAGAGAGGGAGCACGAGAGGCGCTTGTGTTTGTGTGCGGCGCCCGCGATGTGTACCAAACGCTTGTGTGTGCATGCCAGAGTGTATCACTTAATGATACAGTAAGAGGGCAGCGTGGCCCCGCTGTGACCTAAGATACTTCCCTTGACCTCGGTCACGTCCCGGGAGAGGAGCCGGGCGCTCCTTGATGCAGAGCTCTTTCTTGTTTGACTTTCAGCACAAGTCCCTCGATGGACAGCAGCCAGTGTGACCTCTTCCTCTCGTGCAGACGGTGACAGTCAATGTCATGACACATGTCCTTTAAAATGTACATTTATTCCTTAGTTACAAATGTAAAATGACATCCTTTTGTTATTTTTAATTGTACATTAACAACAGCACAGTGAAGCCGGCGCATATGTGTAGAGTGAGCTTCCATTAGCTACAGTTCATCCACTTGGTGCGTCGCCGATTAGCAACTGGCTATTCAGAGTGGTCTAAACCTGCTTAGGAAGAGCATGGAAATGAGATAATATCCCCGCAGCCTTACGGCAAGTGCTCTTATTGGTCCATTGAATCATCCACTCACACTCTGTCTGTTTCTATTGGCTTTACAAAATCAGGTCCTGCTCTGCAAAGCAACCCAATAGGACAGCCACCGGCACACAGGGAGGGATTGGAAGTACGATTAACCTGCTTAGAGTAGTAATCTTATGTCTCCAATCTGTGCTATATGTTTATTATTTTCAAAGGATTTTGGGTGCATGTTAGCTGCTTTAATGGAGGATTGCTCAGATAAACTGGACTTTATGTGATAATAAGAAAAAACATTTACATTGCCACAAAATGGGATTATAGTTTTATGTTAGTAAATAGAAAACAAGCGCGTTTTCAGACTGGAACATGATTTGAGTTTTCAAACTGGAAAATCTCGAATAAACTATTTTGGTTTAAAAAAATAATAAAAAAACAACAAAAGAACATATTTGGCACAGATGAATTTTTCCTGGACCTATTTTTTTTTTTTTTGTCATTCAATCACTGCTTTTCCCTGATTGGAAATGAGAAAATTACCTCTCAACAGATCATAAAACAATGTTAAATAATTTTAGACAATAATTTTTAAAAAATCTTTACATTTTGGTGAAAATGGCAAATACACATTATTTTTTTATCATCCTCAAAGACGAATGAAAATGTTTTTATTGTCTTAACAGCAGCCAGACCTTCCTGTCATTCCTGACCAGCTTTTTGGATGTTTCCACTGTTTGTTTGTTTTGAGGATTAATCTCTTGGTGATAAGCGGTCAGGTGATACACATCGGATAAGTTAAATATTTACTTTGACCCTAAATCTGCCATAATATTGAACTTGACTGTAATAGGCTTAAAAACACATGCTCCTATGCTCGCTGATTATTTAATTAAGTCTGCCCGTTTAATTGTGACTCAGCAGAAACTCAATGCATTTAGTGACATAAGCATGTTGAAGACATCTTGATGAAGTCAAAACCACGTCTTAGAGAAAATGATGAACGACACCTTGAGCCAGGAAGCAGACAGAAAACCACAGCGGGAGCCAATCCGGACAGATTTCCTTGTGTTAATGAGGGACTAACTCCAGTCGCCGCATGCTGTATCTAATCAGGAGAATGACTTCTTATTGCTAGATTCAAACAGATTTTCTCCATATCCAATTAAGACCCAGCTAAGACATGCCATGCATACACGCCATCCCTGTTTGGTCCACTTTAATCAGACGCCGGTTTGATTAAAGCGTGAAAGCGCATTCGAACCCTGATATGGACCGAAAAAAAGCAAACTCTGGTTCACATAGAAACCTCGGCCTTGGTGTGATTAAAGTGAAGTCTGGTGCAGGCGAGTTGCATATGTATATGCATATACAACCAAAACAAATGCAAGAGGGTTGCGCTTGGGAGAAATGGCTCCTGGTCTTTTACCAGGCGATAAAAGATCTAAAAAAAAAAACGAAGTCCTAAAATCTGACACTCCTCCATTTTCGTTCACATTTGTGAAGAAGGAAGTTGCACTCATGCCTTCTTCAGAGGATTTTGTGTTGCTCCCTTCATTCTTTCTTGGCACAGTGCCACCACAGGCGAGGAGGGGAACAAGTTTTCAAAGCACAAACAAACCACTTTGAAAACGTAACAATTGCTGCAATTTTGGTCCCCAAACGATCAGGTGTGAAAACATCTTTACATAGGGTTTGTTTCCAGTCATTGCATGCATTAGATAGTATTTAGACAATCCATTAAGACAACATTGCAAGCTCAGAGCTACTTTCCCTTCTGAGCAAAATCTTTACGGGACCCACATACACACAGGTATAAGCTTCGAAAATGTGACAATTGTCAAGATGAGAAGTTTTTTTAAATGGAAGAGCAGGAGAGAGCAGAGGGAAGTGAGGGTGAGAGCTACTGTACGTTCCAGTGTAAACACACACCTTCATATTCTTTCATATTTGATGATCCACCTA